GGAGGGGTTGTTGATGAGTGGTGGATTTCCACTCATTTGAGGTTTAATTTAGAATTGGTGCTTTTAATGTGTTTTTTCCCCATATTTGCACGAAAATGAAATGGAGAGTTGATTTAGGAGATATTTGAAGAAGCCAAGTGAACTTTATGCAAAAAGAGGTCAAGAGCTGAAAATGCAATATTTGGCAGGGAAAGTACCCTTCATGAACGCGATTGTTGGGTATTTTTATTGACGACAACCGCTTAATCTTTTAACTTATTTTTAGGGCAATTTGAGCATTATCAATTAGTTAAGGTTTTTGTAAAAATTTCTAAACATGTGTTTATATTACTTCCTAGTGATGCAAATCTCCAGTTCTTTTTACTGTTGTTGTGAATGCACTATCTGAAATAGTTTGATCAAATTGCACTGTTGCTCTTGGAGATTTGGCAGTTCATTTTCCTAATCTCTTATAGCCATGGACAGAGCTATGTATGCATAATTAAGAGTTTCATCAGTTTCTGTGCGGGAGAATGCTGTATTGGTTCTTTCTCAGATTATACTGAACGACATGATGAAGGTTTGGCTGGATTATCAAACCTTTATACATACCTAAAGATAGCATTTTCAAAGAAAGTTTGTTTTCTCTCTCTCTCTCTTATTCCATTGGTTGAGTCTAGGCGAAACTTCTAAGCTTAATGGTTTGTTGCCTTTTCTTTTATTGGATTAATTTTCATTTTGTGTTTTAAATTTGTGCGAGTCTCCAGCTGAGTTCTTTGCAGATAACAAAAACATTGCTGGTTTTGACAATGTGAGTTTCTTATATGTTTAGGATGTCTTATAATTTTAACTTTTTTCTAATGATATAATCACACATTAGTTTGATGATTTGCCATTATGTTGGAGAGCAGCAGCTAGTACCTCAAAATTAATTAAAATTTAGGTACCTTTAATAAAGAATAGGTTTAGAAATTAATCTCCATAGGCCCCGTGGTTAGCATATAATCAGACTATTGATAACTCATAATTGAATCCTTCTACTCCCTCTTGAAGAGATGTTCCTAACTTCCTATATTCCGAATGATAGTAGAATAGGTGGAGTTTTTTTCCGGAACTGGTTACTTGTAGAGTAGGTGGATTTTAAGGTCACGCATTGTTGCCATTAGCCAACATAAGAGAATCGACCACATTGAAGGGAATGTTGAAGGCATTATATGAAATAGGCTCTTCGCTTTTTTTGATAGCTCAAGATTTTCATGAGGTGGAACTTACTTCAACAATGATACACTAAATGTGCTGTTAATCAAGTTAGTCTTTCCAAATTTTCAGCCTGGGAAATGTCTTTACACTACTGTGAGAGAACTTGTTGAGAATGCACTTGATTCTGCTGAATCCATCTCTGAACTTCCAGTTGTAGAGACAACCATGTAACTGATTATTTTGTCTATTTTGGATAACTTCTTCAATGAGCTAATCTATTAATGGGAACCTCTCTTCATAGCTTAGTGTTGTTTTTTGTTTTGCTTCTGTAGTGAAGAGATTGACAGAAGTAAATTTAATCCCATGATTGTTCTGGGTGATATATGATGATTTTAAGACAGCAAAGGCTCGTGAGGTGTGTAAGCATTGATTTACACTCAGTTAGATGGCATTGTGATTTATATTTTATGCTCACTGTTTGACATTTAGCAAATTTCATTAGTGAAACATTTTTCTTGCTAATTTCATTAGATGGTATTCTGATTTTTCTAACTACTGTGTCTAGAAAAGACTTGCCAACGAAACTCGGGATCTAGAGATTCAAGCAAAGAATGTTGCTCTTGGGAAGAAAGTAAAAGACCCTACAGCTACAAAGGCAGTTAAGGGTAAGGAGACAACATATTATAGGGTGATATGCAAGGTATGATCTGTTTCTCTTTGTTCTTCTATATGCTGACTCTGCTCTAAGTATGCAAGACAAGAAAAGTACATTTTTGAATTAAATCAATTTGGCAAGTTAGTTGAAGATTATTCTTCCCTAAAAGACTTTAATTACTGTACTTTGGTTCTAATATATGATCATGGAAGAGGAATGCCTCATGATGATACCCTGAATATGTTTGGACGAGGTTTGATGTGCTTTCCATTTCCTGTTATTTTACCCATGGGAACTTTTGCATGTTCCTGCTTTTGTTATGTTCCAACATCTTTCATTTTCTCTTGACCTTCAATTAGGAGGAACAAAGGTGTTTTAGACGTCTGATACATTCGTTTCAACTTTCAGTTCTATATTTGTTTATTTATTATATTCTTTTGTTATATTTATCTTGTTTGTTTTTTATATTTTAATTATTATAAACTTTAAATATGGATACCGTTAAAAAAAGTAGTGGTACGAAATCAATTTATGGAAAAAAAGGTGCTACTAGTAGGGGTGGGGGAGGAAGTAGTTCTCATTTCAGCCTAGATTTAAAACTAATACAAGACGATTATACTCATGTTGGTGAAACTTTTTTTATTTCACGTCCCAATATTTTAGAATTTAATTCTGAATATAGTAGACCATGAGACCTTAGATGGTTTGCTAATTTTGAGGAAGAGTTGGAGGAAGAAGTAGAAATAGAAAACCAAGACTTAGCGGACACCCTACTAGTCTGGCCACAAAATTACCTCAATAAAATGATCTCCCTCTAATACTTGTGTTTGTCTTTACTGAAAACTCTTTTGACCTCTAGGGGAGAACAGTTAGTGCGGTCATTATATGTGTTAATTTCCCATATTAAGAAGTTGTGTTTAAAAACCTAAGGTGACCTTGGGGATTTAGTTTGTTGGTTTCCAGTCATGTGTGGCCTTTTGTTGGACTTCACAAAGGTTAGTATCGTGGAGGTTATTTATGCACCTTTAATCGTCAATTTGTGGTGTTTCGTGTGCCTAAGTTTTGTTGGTTTTATTTCTTTTGTGGCATTGTTATGCAAATTTTATTGTTGTTGAGGGGATTTGTTGTTTTTTTGTGTTATTTATTATCAGGGTAAATGTATTTAAGGGCCTAATTGCTCTTGCAACATCTTTGTTGTGGAAGTACCATGAAACTTGTGCCCAAAAGAGTAGTGTCGAGTCATTTTCGTTGCCCTGAAGCATTTGTTTAACACCGTTTAAATGTGATTGTTTAATGTTGTACACAATTGAAAATGTTAAAAATGAGACAACTATAATGGGTGTCATGCAACATTTAAACTCCATTGTCATACATGTGAGGATATAATATTGCATAAACTAATAAATTCACATCCATTTTGTGTATGGTTGATCTACCGAAACTCCTTATAGATTTTTTATCCATAGCTAGAATCCTATCAGAAATAATATAGCGAGGGTGATGTACGCATACTATAAATGATCAGAAAGTCATTTATAGGCTTGAAGTATAAATACAATAAGTAAGTATATCGCATACTATAGGCTTGAAGTGGTGGGGGATTCTGTTTAGAAATTAGCCTAAGGGAAAAGGGTGGTAAACCTGGAGGCATAACATATCCTTAATAAATGATCAGAAAGTCAAGCTGAGTGTTAAAAACCTCACATTAATCCTGCATCGTGTTTTATTTCTGTTTGTTTGGCATTTAGTGTGTCAAGTGTTACACGTGTACATGACTATGGAACTTGAAGATGGTGGTATCATGAAGGTTCCTTGAGAACAAGATTAGACAATAATTTTTTCAGAGGAAGTGTTTTAGAAGTGTTAAACAGAATTAGAAAATTATTCAATAGGAGTATGCATCAGGTTAGCATATGCAACCATTTGAACTAACAGTTTGCTTTGCCTCGATGCTGATTTCGCGGTTTGCATCTTGGGTTATTTTTATCAAAAACAACTTCTCTACCCTGATATGCGTTAGATTTGCTTACACCGTTCCCTTTTAAAACCTCACATTTTGGAATTACATTGACTATGTTGTTGTTGTAGTGTAAGTGCTCCTAATTTTGCAAATTGAATTGGTTGATTTATGACAGTTACCAATTGTGGGTGTTCTTTGTTGAATGCTTTTTGATTACTAGTGGAATAAATTACTTGTTTAATAATATCTTCCATACTTGAATTCTATGATTGTTTATAGAGTATGATTTTGATTTTGATTTTGTAGTTTAAATGCTCATGCCATGACTTTTGTGTGCTATATAAGGATAGAGAATTTCTATATCCTTCGGCATCTTTATCTTTATATTGTGCAGATAAGTTAGGGTGGTTCGTAACTAACTAAATAATTTAAATATCTTGTAGTAGAACGCATAAAAAATTGATGAATAGTATCTTCCCATCCACGAGTGAGGACGGGAGGCCTTTGCACTTCTCTCTGGTATTCAAACAAGTATTTTTTTTGGTTATTTGAACTAAGGCTTTATGGTTGTCGGTAAGCTCTTACTTGAAACCTACTGTTTAAATGTTGATCAATTTGTAGGCTATAGGTGCAGGATCGATGCTGAGTTTTCTGACTGGTTCCTTAGCACACTTTAAGCATGTTCCTGAGACTACCCTGTGCTGCAACATTATAGTAAGTTTTGGTTAGTTTCATCTTATGCTCAATGACAATTTTTTAAGATCATTTTTTCGTATCAAACTACTTCCTTATGACATTTGCCTTCTCAATCTTTTCCCTGTTGATTATAGTAAACGTGCAAATGTTCTTTTGCTTTGGTAGTCCCTCGTATTCTCTTTTGATATTTGGACTGTGAGGACATAGTCTCATTTTAAGTTGGGGGTGCTCCCTTGTACTCATTTTGTTGATTTTTTTCTGCATACTGCGATTCTGCCCTTGTCGGGGGTACTTTTCTTTCTCTGTTATGGATTGGTGTGCCCTTGTTGGGCTTTTGATATTGTGGGTGTTTCTGCTGATTTTGTGTTGGATTGGTCTATTTTAGTTTTTGATTTGTAGTTTGTAGCTTCTTTATTTTATTTTTTTGATAATAAGATTTGGATTAACGATGCCCAATGATGGATAGAGAGTGATGACTTTCTAAAGGTTAAATCGTCGATTGCTTGTGAGTTTTATTGGCGTTGATTGTGGCGAAGTCTAAGTAGTCGTTCCCGAATAGATGCATGAGGTTGCCTGATGATGGATTGGTTGACAGCTTTCTTCAGGGCAAAATCATCGTCTTTTTGGGAAGGTTTTGACTTGATTAGTACTAAGAGCATAGTCATGCTTGTGAATAGTGTTGAGCATACCTCTCAACTTTTAAAAGGTTGAGCATATTTTGAATGATTTTGTGACAACTCTTACCACTCTTTTTGTGACTTTTGATTCGTTAGCGGTAAAAATGTTCAATGCTACTTGTATTTTAAAAAGGAAGTAAGATTTTAAACCATCTTGATTGATTTGCAGGCCATGTGTGGTGAGTTGTTGAATAATGCCATGTGTTCGCTTTTGTCACCTAGAACTTTCCCGGTTGGTCTTGAAATATTTTGGTTGGAGAAATGATCTTAGGCTTTCTTTGATGTTCTTGAAGTCCAATTGTCCTAAATATCCCACCTTTGCACTAAATATATCCTTAGTTGTCCCCTTTGAGCATAATCTTTTTTATTGGCAACCACATTACAAGCCTTTTCCTTTTTAAAAAAGTAACCCTCTTTTGAACCCTTCCCTCCTTGAACTTGAGGTTGTGAAAGTTAAGGCTAAAAGCCTAAATTTAGGGTGTTATGAGAAATTCATTAATGGGATGCTTTACCACATGAGGGTTTGATATAAAAAAGGAAGGAAAAAAAAGAAGAGAGAAATTGAGGGATGTATGGGAAGTCTTAAAGAAAGAGAAACCTTTGAAAAAGAAAGAAGGAAATGAATAAATGAGACTTGAATCCTCCAAAAGTTGAAAATGGTTGTATGTGGGGAATCTGGAATGGAAATAAGAAAAAAAAATGAAAAATAGTGTGAAATGTACATGCGTTTGAAAAGTTGTGAAAGTTGAAAATGATGAGTTGTATAATGTTCAAGGATGTTGTAGTCACTTATACCTAAATGATATCCTAACCTTTCCTAAGCTTATATTACAAGCTTAACAAAGTCCTTTGAGATTTCTAACCAAATGGAGTTGAGTCAATGTTGATTGAAAATATGGGCAAGCCTATGGTGTGACCTTTGTGTGCATGAAATAATTCTTTGTGAGTGTAAGTGTGTTGCATCTTTGTCCCTTGTCTTATTTATATATTTGTGTGGTTTTCGGACACTTCTTTCTTGTGAGGGCATGTACGTTGAAAAAGTGGTGATTTTGAAAATTCCTAATTGAATCAAGTGAGCTTGTGAAAGAGTTAATGAATTGAGTCATTTCTTGAGTTTTAGTTGTTGTCACTTGAATTATTCTTGGTTTTTGAAAATGTTTCACGAGAATGAGAGGATTTCTTTTGCGAAAAGTTTGCATGTGGACTATTTGTTAGTACCAACCGAAGCCATTACCTTTGTGCTTAATTGAGAAAAAGAAATTGATTTGTGGTGTGTCTTGAAATAAGAGCCTCATGTGTTTTTGATTTTCTTTAGTTGAGGACCAACAGAGTTTCTAAACATGTGTTTATATTACTTCCTAGTGATGCAAATCTCCAGCTTCTTTTCAGTGTTGTGGTGAATGCACTATCTGAAATAGTTTGATAAAATTGCACTGTTGCTCTTGGAGATTTGGCAGTTCATTTTCCTAATATCTTATAACCATGGACAGAGCGATGTATGCATGATTAAGAGATCTATATGTTTCTGTGCGGAAGAATGCTGAATTGGTTCTTTCGCAGATTTTACTGAATGACATGATGAAGGTTTGGCTGGATTATCAAACATTTATACAAACCTAAAGATAGCATTCTCAAACAGAGTTTTTTTTCTCTCTCTCTCTCTCTTATTCTATTGGTTGAGTCTAGGCGAAACTTCTAAGCTTAATGGTTTGTTGCCTTTTCTTTTCTTGGATTAATTTTCATTTTGTGTTTTAAATTTGTGCAGAGTCTCCCGCTGAGTTCTTTGCAAATAACAAAAACATTGCTGGTTTTGACAATGTGAGTTTCTTATATGTTTTGGATGTCTTATAATTTTAACTTTTTTATAATGTTATAATCACACATTTGTTTGATGATGAAGGATGTCTTATTATTTTAACATTTTTATAATGTTATAATCACCCATTAGTTTGATGATTAAGGATGTCGATGAAGTAATATTGCCTTGCTGGCATTTGAGTGATATTATCTGTAACTGAAGTTGTCAGTATCTAAGGTGTAGTGTTAGCTGTAATGTGAGGTATGTACTGCACCGAAGCAAGGTGCATGTCATTTATACAAATGAAAACTCTGCCAACTTTAAAACCTCAACAGTTGCATTATTACTTATTTTTAACATTAAGTCAACCATTGCTTACTTTGACTGTTAATCATGTAAAATCAATTCATGTTTTACTTCCATAAAAAGATGCTTTCCTCATTGTAACAACTTATATCAAATCTGAACTTAGAAAAATAATGGAGATCTTCCAGGAGAAATAGCTTGATAGAGAAGCAGAATACATATCAGAAACACCAGAGGATTAGTGGACAAAAAAAGACTGCAATCAAAGGGTAATTGCAAAAATAGGGAAACAAAGTTGCATAGTCTCCACAGTATAAATGGAATCTTTAGTTTTTATGAAAATATTGTTTGTTAATTTATTTTGATAGAGTAAACTGAAGTTAATATTCCTCTTGGTTATTAGCCGTTATGTTGGAGAGCAGCAGCTAGTACCTCAAAATAAAATAAAATTTAGGTACCTTTAATAAAGAAAAGGTTGAGAAATTAATCTCCATATGCCCCGTGGTTAGCATATAATCAGATTATTGATAACTCATCAGTGAATCCTTATACCCCCTGTTGAAAAGATGTTCCTATATTCATAATAATAGTAGAGTAGGTGGAGTTTTTTTTGGAACTGGTTTCTTGTAGAGTAGGTGGATGTTTTTAAGGTCACACATTGTTGACATTTGCCAACAAAAGAGAATCAACCACATTGAAGGGCATGTTGAAGGCATTAAATGAAATAGGCTCTTCCTTTTTTTAATAGCTCCAAATTTTCATGAGGTGGAACTTACTTCAACAATGATACACTAAATGTGCTGTTAATCAAGTTAGTCTTTCCAAATTTTCAGCCTGGGAAATGTCTTTACACTACTCTGAGAGAACTTGTTGAGAATGCACTTGATTCTGCTGAATCCATCTCTGAACTTCCAGTTGTAGAGATAACCATGTAAGTGATTATTTTGTCTATTTTGGGTAACTACTTCAATGAGCTAACATAGATCTATTAATTGGAACCTCTCTTCATAGCTTAGTGTTGTTTTTTGTTTTGCTTCTATAGTGAAGAGATTGGCAGAAGTAAATTTAATCCCATGATTGCTCTGGGGACCATGAACGTGGAGATGAAGCCCTATATGATGATTTTAAGACAGAAAAGGCTCTTGTGGTGTGTAACCAGCCAATGATTTACTTTCACTTAGATGGCATTGTGATTTATATTTTATGCTCACTGTTTGACATTTAGTAAATTTCATTAGTGAAATATTTTTCTAGCAAATTTCATTAGATGGCATTGGGATTCTTCTAATTACTGTGTCTAGAAAAGACATGCCAAGGAAGCTCGGGTTCTAGAGATTCAAGCAAAGAATGTTGCTCTTGGGAAGAAAGTAAAAGACCTGCAGCTACAAAGGCTGTTAAGGGTAGGGAGGCATCATATTATACGATGACTTGCAAGGTATGATTTGTTTCTCTTTGTTCTTCTATATGCTGACTCTGCTCTAAGTATGCAAGACAAGAAAAGTACATTTTTGAATTAAATCAATTTGGCAAGTTAGTGGAAGATTATTTTCTTCCCTAAAATACTTCAAATACTGTACTTTGTTTTTAATATAGGATAATGGAAGAGGAATGCCTCATGATGATAGCCTGAATATGTTTTGATGAGGTTTGATGTGCTTGCCATTTCCAGTTATTTTACCCGTGGAAACTTTTGCATGTTCCTGCTTTTGTTATGTTCTAACTTCTTTCATTTTCTCTTGAGCTTTAATTAAGAGGAAGAAAGGTGTTTTAGACGTCTTATACATTCGTTTCAACTTTCATCTCTATATTTGTTTATTTATTATATTTTTTTTGTTATATTTATCTTGTTTGTTTTTTATATTTTAATTATTATTAACTTTAAATATGGATCCCGTTAAAAAAAAGTAGTGGTAAAAAATCAATTTATGGAAAAAAAGGTGTCTTTTGACCTATAGGGGAGAACAGTTATTGCGGTCCTATATGTGTTAATTTCCCATATTAAGAAGTTGGGTATAAAAACTTAAGGTGACCTTGGGCCTTTAGTTTGTTGGTTTCCTATAATGTGTGGCCTTCAGTTGGACTTCACAAAGGTTAGTATCGTGGAGGTTATTTATGCACCTTTGTGTTGTTGATTATAGTCAGTTTGTGGTGTTTCGTGTTCCTAAGTTTTGTTGGTTTTATTTCTTTTGTGGCATTGCTATGCAAATTTTATTATTGTTGTGGAGATTTGTTGTTTTTCGTGAGATTTATTATCCGGGAAAATGTATTTAAGGGCCTAATAGCTCTTGTAGCATCTTTGTTATGGCAGTAGCATGAAACTTCTGCACAAAAGAGTAGTGTAGAGCCTTTTTCGTTGCCCTGAAGTATTTGTGTAATACCGTTAAATGTGATTGGTTAATGTTGTACACAAATTGAAAATGTTAAAAATGTGACAACTATAATGGGTGTCATGTAACGTTTAAACTCCATAGTCATACATGTGAGGATATAATATAAAAAAAAAAAACTAATATATTTGCATTCATTTTGTGTATGATTGATCTATCGAAACTCCTTATAGATATTTTATCCATAGCTGGAATCCTATCAGAAATAATATAGCGAGGGTGTATAAATACAATAAGTAAATGTATCGTATACTATAGGCTTGAAGTGGTGGGGGATTCTGTTTCGAAATTAGCCTAAGGGAAAAGGGTGGTAAACCTGGAGGCATAACGTATCATTAATTAAATGATCAGAAAGTCAAGCTAACAGTTAAAAGCCTCATATAATCCTACATCGCGCTTTATTTTTCTGTTTGTATTGCATTTAGTGTGTCAAGTTTCGCACGTTTACAGGACTATGGAACTTGAAGATGGTGGTATCATGAAGGTTCCTTGAGAATAGGATTAGCCAATAATTTTTTCAAAGGAAGTATAAAACAGAATTGAAACCTAGTGAACTTGAGGCAAAAAGAGGTCAAGAGCTGAAAATGCATTTTTTGGCAGGGAAAGTACCCTTCGCGAATGCACTTGTTGGGTATTTTTATTGATGACGATCGCTTGCTCTTTTAACTTATTTTGAGGGTACTTCGAACGTTATCAATTAGTTAAGATATTTGTAAAAATTTCTAAACATGTGTTTATATTACTCCCTAGTGATGCAAATCTCCAGCTTCTTTTCACTTTTGTGGTGAATGCACTATCTGAAACAGTTTGATCAAATAGCACTGTTGCTCTTGGAGATTTGGCAGTTCATTTTCCTAATCTCTTAGAGCCATGGACAAAGCTATGTATTCATGATTGAGATCCATCAGTTTCTGTGTAGAAGAATGTTGTATTGGTTCTTTCTCAGATTATACTGAATGACATGATGAAGGTTTGGCTGGATCATCAAACATTTATACATACCTAAATAGAGCATTCTCAAACAGAGTTCTCTCTCTCTCTCTCTCTCTAATTCTATTAATTGAGTCTAGGTGAAACTTCTAAGCTTAATGGTTTGTTGCCTTTTCTTTTCTTGGATTAATTTTCATTTTGTGTTTTAAATTTGTGCAGAGTCTCCCGCTGAGTTCTTTGCAGATAACAAAAACGTTGCTGGTTTTGACAATGTGAGTTTCTTATATGTTTAGGATGTCTTATAATTTTAACTTTTTTCTAATGTTATAATCACACATTAGTTTGATGATTAAGGGTGTCAATGAAGTAATATTTCCCTGTTGGCATTTGAGTGATATAGAGAAGCTGAATACAAAAATGCAGAAACACCAAAGGATTAGTGGAAAAGAAAAATGAATGCAATCAAAGGGTAATTGCAAAAAAAGAGAAACAAAGTTGCATAGTCTCCATTGAACTATAAATGGGCAATGTGAGTTTCTTATATGTTTAGGATGTCTTATAATTTTAACTTTTTTCTAATGATATAATCACACATTAGTTTGATGATTTGCCATTATGTTGGAGAGCAGCAGCTAGTACCTTAAAATTAAGTAAAACTTAGGTACCTTTACAAAGAAAAGGTTAAAAAATTAATGTCCATATGCCCCGTGGTTAGCATATAATCAGACTATTGATAACTCATCAATGAATTCTTATACCCCCTGTTGAAAAGATGTTTCTATATTCATAATGTTAGTAGAGTAGGTGGAGTTTTTTTTTTTGGAACTGCGAGTTTTTTTCTGGAACTGGTTACTTGTAGAGTAGGTGGATTTTAAGGTCACGCATTGTTGCCATTAGCCAACAAAAGAGAATCAACCACATTGAAGGGCATGTTGAAGGCATTAGATGAAATAGGATTTTCCTTTTTTAATAGCTCAAAATTTTCATGAGGTGGAACTTACTTCAACAATGATAACACTAAATGCGCTGTTAATCAAGTTAGTCTTTCCAAATTTCCAGCCTAGGAAATGTCTTTACACTACTATGAGAGAACTTGTTGAGAATGCACTTGATTCGGCTGACATTGTAGAGATAACCATGTAAGTGATTATTTTATCTATTTTTGAAACTACTTCAATAAGCTAACAGAGAGTTATTGATGGGAACCTCTCCTCAAAGCTTAGTGTTGTTTTTTTGTTGTTTTCTGTAGTGAAGAGATTGGCTGAAGTAAATTTAATTCCATGATTGGTCTGGCTGACCATGAACGTAGATATGAAGCCCTGTATGATGATTTTGTGACAGCAAAGTCTCGTGAGGTGTGTAAGCAGTAATTTACTCTCACTTAGATGGCATTGTGATTTATATCTTATGCTCACTGTTTGACATTAAGCAAATTTGATTAGTGAAATATTTTTCTAATGAAGTATATTTTTCTAGCAAATTTCGTTAGGTGGCATTGTGATTTTTCTAACTACTGTGTCTAGAAATGACTTGCCAAGGAAGCTCGGGTTCTAGAGGTTTAAGCAAAGAATGTTGCTCTTGGGAAGAAAGTAAAAGACCCTGCAGCTACAAAGGCAACTAAGGGTAGGGAGGCATCATATTTTAGGGTGGCATGCATGGTATGATCTGTTTCTCTTTGTTCTTCTATATGCGGACTCTGCTCTCAGTATGCAAGACAAGAATAGTACATTGTTGAATTAAATCAATCTGGCAAGTTAGTGGAAGATTATTCTTCCTTAAAAGACTTTAATTACTGTACTTTGTTTCTAATATAGGTTAATGGAAGAGGAATGCCACATGATGATATCCCGATTATGTTTGGACGAAGTTTGATGTGCTTGCCTTTTCCAGTTTTTTTACCCGTGGAAACTGTTGCATGTTCCCGCTTTTTGTTATGTTCCAACTTCTTTCCTTTTATCTTGACCTTCAATTAGGCTGGACATGCATCAGAAAGCTAGTAAATTCAATTAATTCACATAGCATGCACAAACCTAAACCACTCAACTTAGCAAGGTGTACAGTGCCCGAAAAAATGCCAATCAAACCTAAAACATGGTATCTAAGAAGAGAGGTAAGAATTATAGGTCCTCGCCCCCAATTCACACTAATCAACATGAGTTCACACATTCAGGCTCAATCTAGATAGAAAGGAAGTTGTAGCCTACCTGAAAGCCGACCGCGCGCGCTCCAAATCACAAGGCCAAAGCTTTTCCCTTCTGAACAACCTTTCAATGCTGCCATACTATCAAAAATATGATCACAACGTCAATACGATCGTTTAGACACCAAAATCACCCAAAATGGAGCCTGGCCAATTTTTAGAGCCAAATGGGAACCATGGGATGGCGCCAAAATTTCCGGAATTGACTTCGTCAAGAGGTCCTATATAGTGCCTCAAACTTGTATTCCAAAGATGAACGCAATCCGAGGCCTAAAATATCCCACAACAACACATGCAATAAAAACCCAATTCAAGCCAAAATTAAAGAGAGGGCAACAACTAAAATGAGAAATTCACCTCAAATGAGGCTTTGCAAACAACTTCTAATCATAAACCCAAGTAGCCACGCTCTCAACGATCATACAAGACTTCGAATCACTCAAATCATAGATTGGATGTGGGAGAAATCGCCTTTTGAAAAAAGAAATGAGGCTACAATTTTGCTATACAAATAGCCCAAATCCAGTCGCTAAAAGTCCAATTCTAGTCGCTAAAGAGTCTGATTTCTGGTCGCTAAAACCCTGCACCAGATATCAACACTTGCGCTATTTTGCTTAAACTCCGAATTCTCTGATGCGGTGTGCCGGATTCGTTCGAAATTCCGTGCACGCAAACAAAATATGCTAACCCATCGAAACTTCCATTCAAGGTCGTTTCGGTAAAAAGTAAGCCAAAGTCCACGAGGGGCCTTGGAATTAGCCCGGAAGCCTAGAGACCTAAACAAAGGGTCGTTCTAGACTAAACTCGACACTTCGGAGCTAGTCGCGCAGACGAATCTCTCATCCGAGCTCGTTTACCTCGAATGTTGACTAAAGTCAAACATAGGCTTCAACTTGAAAGTTAAAACACCTAATCGCTTAGACTCACATTGAAAACCTCAGGAGTCATCACGACTATTCTACCAGCCTAAAATGACCTTTCTAGAGCTGATGGAATCGTCAGAATTGGATTGTGAGACCATCTTCCTAAATTTTTTAATCAAAACTGTTTGTTCCAGGTTCAAAAGTTCCAAAACACTAAAACTCACATAAAAACTAAACGATTAACCTGGTGACGGAACTGTTAGTCCCAACAAGTCATAAGCTAAGGACTGAAACATCCCACTGAACCATCTGATTAGCTAAGGACTGAATGTCCAAAGCTAAAGGCCGCTCTACCGTAGATAGGAAGGCTAGAGTTCCATACTCATTGCCTTGCGACTCAAGGCGTCCCATTCGCCTTTCCCGAATGGTAGAGAATAGAGAGGTCATAGTCCTTCAGAAAAGCTCAATCCAGTGAAGCTGCCTCGAATTAAGATTCCTCGGGCTCATAATTTACTGAAAACACCTTTGATCCATGTAGATTTCATAACGAACTCCATACAAGTAGTGCTTCTAGATCCTAAGAGCGAAAACTACCGTTGGCAACTCCAAGTCATGAGTGGGGTATAGTCGTGCTCATGTAAACCTTGCCTCGATGCATGAGCAATGTCTGTCATGAGTGGGGTAGTTGTGCTTATGTAACCCTTGCCTCGACGCATGAGCAATGTCTGGCCTCGCTGCATCAAAACACAACCCAAACCAACACCAGATGTGTCACAATAGATTGTGAAGCCTTTGCCCTCAGCTGTAAGAGTCAATCCATGAGCAGTAGTCAACAACTCCTTGAGCTTTTGAAAGCTCAACTCACACTCCTCAGACTACTCAAAAGGAACATCAATGAGAGTCAACCGGGTCAAAGGTGCAGAAATGGTGGAGAAACCCTCCACAAACCGTTTGTAGAAGCTTGTTAAATTGACGAAGCTCCGAGCCTCAGTAACTGAAATGGGCGTAGCCCAATCATGATTAGCCTCAATCTTTGTCGGATCTACCATGATGCCATCCTTGGACACCGCGTGCCCAAAGAATGCTACAGACTCAAGCCAAAACTCGCACTTTTAGAACTTGGCATAAAGCCGCTAATCTCTCAAGGTCTGGAGCACAATGCTCAGATGCAGCTCATGATCACTCATGTTCCGTGAGTATACCAAAATGAATACGGTCTGAACACCCGCATAATCAAGTCCATCAAGGCGGCAGGGGCATTAGTCTACCCAAAAGACATTACTAAGAACTCATAGTGGCCATATCTAGTCCTAAATGCGGTATTAGGGATGTCTGTTACCCTAATCCTTAGCCGGTGGTAACCAGACCTCCAATCAATCTTCGAAAACAATGTGGCACCCTGAAGCTGGTCAAATAGATCATCAATCCTAGGCATGGGGTAGCAGTTCTTCACCGTCACCTTATTCAACTACCTATAATCAATACACATGCGCATCGTTCCATCCTTCCCAAACAGAATAGGAGCCATTGAACTCATCAAGCATATCATCTAAACTAGGGATAGGATGACGATACTTTACCGTGATCTTGTTGATGGCTCGACAATCAACACACATGCGCCATGTTCCATCATTCTTTGGAACCAATAGAACCGGAACGGCGCACAGACTCATACTTTTTCTCACATAGCCCTTGTTGAGGAGTTCCTCAACTTGCCTTTGTAGACTTTGGTGTCCTCCGGATTACATCGATAAGTCGACTTGTTTGGCAATTGCGATCCCGACACGAAATCAATTTGGTGCTCAATTCCCCGAATAGGGGTAATCCACTTGGAAGCTCCTTTGGGAAGACATTCTCATAATTCTGCAAAAGAAGAGAAATAGAATGGGGAAGAATGAGATTGGCTAGTTTGCAACACATGATCCCTATGTGTGATAAGGATCGAAGAACTTTTGGCCTCCACTTTCTCCCTTATCTCTTTGTACTTAGCCAACGACACTTAGGCCTTTCCCTTCAACTTCCTCCTTTCTTCCTCTTCATTTCCCTCGGCCTCCACATGTTCTTCCTCACCCTTCCTTTTTTCCCTCAACTCACTCATCTTTTGATACACTTCATTGACTTGAGAGGGTGACATAGAATGAAGGACATATTTATGATCATCCAACACAAGTGAATACTTGTTGGTTCTCCCTTCATGTTTGGTTGAACGATCATATTGCCAAGTTCTTTGGAGAAGCACATGACAAACTTGGATTGCGACTACATCACATAGAATCTCATCTTGTAAATACTTCCCAATTTTTAACTTGATCAACACTTGTCTATGAACCCTCAACTCTCCACACTCACTCAACCATTGAAGCTTGTTGGTGTAGCATGCTTAGTGGTAGGAAGTTTCAAGAATTCCACTAAAGAGGTGTTAGCAGCCTTTGCACAACTCCCACTATTAATGATCAAGGAACACACATTATCTTTGATGAGGCACTTGGAGTGGAAAAGATTATCTCTTTGACTTGGGTCTTCCATGGCTTCGCTAATCATAACTTGCCTTACCACATACATTGGTATGGTGAACTCTCCTTCTTGAGGCCAAGCTTCTTCAATTGGGGCGTTCCTCATCAAACCATTAGGAACGACGACATCTTTTCCCTCACATGGGTCTTGTTCCTCATCTTCATCTCCTTCAAAGTCATTCTCTTTGTGGGTTTCTTCTTCAACAACCCTCTTCTTGATCTACCCTTTCCACTAAGATACAATTCCCCTCCTTAAACTAGAACATTCAATCGATTGGGACATTCATTCACGCATTATATGACCCCATCTCTACACTTGTGACATTGAATGCCTTCAGTAAATTTGGTTGGGTCATTATTACCGGCCTAACCCGTTGGTGGCCCCCTTAAGTTGGCACCAATTTTCACTTAGACACCTTAACTAAGCTTTGTTCATTTTAGACACCTCATGGCATACTGCATTGTGTCATTTTATCACTTTTTAACAAATAGTCAAATATATAAGGTGTGTGTATCGCGCTCATCGATGACGTGTAAAAGTCATCTTCTCCGCCCCACCCACCCCAACCCCTCCCCACCCACCCAACGTCTTCTCCACCTCTGCCCACCCTAACCCCAATCCTTTCCCCACCCACATCTTCTTCTCCACCCCTCTCCCACCCAACCCACCGTCTTTTTCAAGATTTTTCGCTTCCCTTCTTTGCGACAACATGAATCGTGGCCCTTCTAATGGGTTGAAATTTGTTTTATTGTAAAATCTCATCGTGTTGAAATCCATTTTTTTGTTTGTAGAATCATCAAAACTATTTCTCCATGGAAGGAGTTCAAGTTTTGAGAGATGGATGCTAAAAAATGAGGAAGAAAATGAAAAGAATTAAAAAAAAAAGATTAAATGAGCCTTTCACGCGCTGGTATTGAGTGTATTACACTCACTATGCCATGTCAGTAAAAAGTGTCAAAATGACAACGGGATATGACATGAGGTGTTCAAAATTAACAAAGCTTAGTTAAGGTGTCTAAGTGAAAATTGGTGCCAACGTTAGGGGGCCATCGATGGGTTAGACCATTATTGCCTCCCTCTCTTGGTGGGTACTTTGGAATATTTCCTTTAAAGGGTTTCTTTTCATTAGGCTTCTTGAAATCCTTATTCTTGTTCCAACCCGAAGATGTTTGAGATGCCCCTTTGTTCTTACCCTAGTAATTTGAAAATGAAATACCCTTGTACGTAGGTACTTTCTCCTCTTTGAGTTCCCACTCTACCTCATTGGCAGCTTCGAAGATGTCATTCA